AAGAATCATTCTTTGCCTGCTAGAACACAATCCATTTTCAGGTTCCTCATTTATTTTTATTTTTTTTATCCTTTCAAATATTCAAATCAAGGAATCAAATTCAAAGAAAGTGGAAAATAACACTTTGATGGGGGGCATGGGAATGTCATAATTCATTGGGCCAGTTTTATTTGGCAATAAGTCTACTTTTAAGGTGACGAGACATGTCGGAAAAGAAGTCACGTTTGTGTGTATGTGTATCACAACAATAGTTACTAAATTCTGGTTTGGTAATGTCTCAAATTCTTTGCTTTTTTATTATATTCCCCCGAGGAGAAAATTGGCCGATTCGCATCCTGCATGAGCAGACAAATGTTTTTGTCAAGTGTTCACGATACTGCGACCCAGTGGATATTAATATCAATCCTTATCATTGAAAAGCAAACTTATTTTCCTTTACTAGCAGATCTCGCTTCTTTTCTTTTTCTATTCCTATTGATCGTCATCTCAGGTCCTTCCAGTTCATTAATAAAACAAAAAAATCACAAATTAAATTAAACAAGTTTATAAAATAACTAATTAAACATAAAACAAGGTTAGATAATTTCAGTTTTTCAATGATTGCCCCAGTCCAAAAATGTCGGCATTCTCAGTGTAATAATTGAAGTCCGTTGAAAGATCACAGGTCAAGAAGAAATGTATTTTAAAAAAAGTATTTCTTTGCAGTAAGTATGTAAATCTTATGTTGTCCAGACAAAGAAGAAAGTTAATGATTTGTTGTGAATAATGATTGTGAAATGTGTTTCTAATAAACTAAGATATGCGCTTCTAAGTTCGATCGTAAAGCATTATTTTTAATAACCGTTTTTCTCATTTATTGTTTCAAATATGTTTTATCATTATTGTCCAATTTGGAATGAAAAACTGTTTCAATTTAAATCTATTTTAACGATGAAAATAAAACTAAAAAACCTGAAGAGTTGTTAAGTAAGAACACTGATCAGTAGTGCTTAATATTATTACCTTTTATTTAAATTTAATAACAATAAATTATTTTATTATAATAAAATGAATGTATAAAATAATTTTGCAATAATGTATAATATTTACAGCCTAAATTTACAATAATACTAGCCTGTAAGAGCAAAAGTCAAATAAAACCACATAAACTGGTTTTCCAAAAGGTGTCACTCTACTCAATATCAACATACGAATAAAATACTCTCGTATAACACAGCAATAAATGTAATATTGCAACAAAAACCGTCTTCAATATCTTAGTATAGTGTACATACAGTTCAACAGTTCTTTACATACCGAGAATATCAAAATAGTTGCTGTTCCATATCGCAAGACGTAAATAGCACCTGTTTAATAGTGGAAAGCTTTCTTGGACTCTTACTGCCGTATCATGTCAGCTGTGTTGTAAGTGGCGACGCACTTAGTTTGAGAATCCAGTCGGTACGCGCCATGTGAGAAGACGCGGAATAACGCAGATATTTACATTTTTCAGTAAATCGAAGCTGTTTCATTGTTTGTTTGTTTTTTGGAATTTTTGCGATTTCCTGGGCAACAAACGAAACCTTGCACAGGGCCGGAAGTTGTAGAGTGTTCTTTCAATATTTGCGCGCATTGAAAATCAGTAATATGGATTTTGACCTATCGAAAGAATATATGAATCCTTTGATTTCACATCTCCCAATCAATTTAGAGAGAGGGTGAGGAAGGACAGTGCAGGTCACTTGGATAATATAAACATGTAAATACGTCTGCAAAGTTGTCAATGTAATATGAGTTACTACCGTAAATGTAAAATATAACTTATCCAAGTTCGATACTTTTGTATAACTGGATGAGTTATATTCTAATAATAATTTATTGACTTGGGTGTTGTTGAACTAAATCGGAAGCGCTTTAGTGGTTTATGAATTAATTTAAAGCATAATTATATTTCAACGTACTTAAAAAAAACTATTTTTGATCGTTTGTTGGGCGCGTGGATTTTGGTGTATAATGAAATGTGGTCTAATGAGCAGCGACTTCGTAATTGTTGAAAATAAATCACGTTTATCTGACTTTAGAGACTTTGTTTATCCACAGCCTTAGATGTTTTTGTCTTAAATCATGATGGTCAGTCTCAGGGATATCGTCTGCACCCACAGGAAGCGGTGGCCTTTGAAAGGAAGGTCGTTCGTCTCTCACTTGCGTTTATTTCTTGAGGAAGCGTTGAATCTCCTTGATGTCAAGATCGGAGTCAGTGTTGCTTTTCTTTTGGAAAAGGGTACTGGTAGATGGAGAGCTCATTTCGGGAAGATTATTGGAACAACCTTTATTAATAAGTACGTTTATTTTCAATGCCCAATATAACTCGACAGTTTCAATATACAAGATATTTTACAATCATTTTTTGTAAGCATGCAATAAAGTATTTACGTTTAAGGTTTGCTTAGTTGGGATGAGAAACTGGCAAGCTCGATCGCCTGCGACATGATGCGGTAGGCCATGTTTCAGCGATCGTGCGTGCTCTTAAAGGGCTTGGGCGAGGAACGAGAAAGCGGGAACATGAACAAGAACTAGAAATATAGTAACAAGTCTTCACAGCAACACTTCAGAAAAGATCTAATTGACAACGAGACTTCTGGGGTGGGGAGATACGATCACTGTAAACAATATCAAATAAGTTCATACACAAACAAAACAACAGAAATTTACTGAAGCAACAATATATAAAGTGACTGAAAGAATAATGATTTAATGTCGCATTATTGGTGCAATTACTAAACTAATAATGGCATATAGTATGTGTTCACTTCGTGGCGAATTCTGCAATTTTCTTGTTCAAGCTCATCGTGGTCTGACCAAATTCTATCACGACTGACTTCTCTAGCGCCTTTAGCAGACGCCCTATAAAATGTACAAAAATGTATATATTAAAATAAAACAAATGTATACTGCTAATCTAGAATTTTTAAGGCCATTTTATTCTATAACAGTTAATGAATGTGAGATGTTCGGTAAACTACAAAACGAGTATAAGAGAGAGTAACCAAGAGGTGGATGTCCGTTCAGCATTCTTCAGAACTACGGAGCACACCTTCGGTTTCCAGTCCGATATTGTCCTGCGCGTATCAGACATGCCACTTCATGAATAAATCCTCTGTGAAGTTGCAAAAATACTCAATATCTGCCGGAGAGATATCGATTCTTGCATTCTAGGAGACTAGCAAATTTCGGTATTTCCGAAACCAAACTATTTTACAGTAGATAATTCTTTTCTTCGCGTTATTCATCATAGAATGTGCCAGAACAAACGTCAAAACTCCAAATACATTGTACACATCGAATGTCTAGATGACATTTGATTCACATTACGTTCATTAACAGCCTTAACATTATAATTAACTATCTGACGATGACACAAGAAACACAACAGAGTCATACAACCAATTAAAGTACTTTGTTCAATTTAGTTTCATAGAAAATTCTCAGAGAAAGGGGCATTTCCATACAAAAAAGTCATTTCTTCAACTGCGGAATTATTTCAAACCCGCAGCAACCTAGAAAGAATTCCACAAACTCTTGACAGGCAAGTGCATTTGCTGCAATATATTGCGGAAGAGTCTGACGTTTTGTTGAAGATTGAGAGTATTTGCCGTCGCTTCACATGCTAAAAGGCCAAGAGAAATCATCTGCAGAAGAATTCCATTAACATCTCATCTCAATTAACATGTATTGCTAATCTACACATTTCGTTTCAAATAACTCTTTCAAAAATTTTACAAAAGTATACACTTCACTTGCTTCGGAACTTACGCTTTCTTGGACTCATCATTCAAGTAATTCTGCATTGGGACGTTGCGTCTTCATTCACCATGACGTCAATTTTTATTCCAGCTGATTCTTTTCTTCATTCACCATGACGCGTCTTCATTCACCATGACGTCAATTTTTATTCCAGCTGATTCTTTTCTTCAAACATTTTCACGGCTGTGCTTCGACACTTTTGAATAGTGTGGTAGGTAAAATGTTATTTTTTCATTGTTACTAGAACAGATATTTTTTGTTTGTGGTCTGGTTGGTAAGTTCTTAATGCTGGATTATTATTCAAACATTTCTTTCAGACATGAGATGAAGCTATTTGCAGAATTTGAGAAAACTTCAGATGTGTCAAATGGGATTTCATCAATTTTTTCATTGATAATTTCATGGCTTCCCTTACTTTATACTTTTATGTACGAAGTAAGTTCGTTTTAAAACTGATTTTGTAAGTCACAGACACGAAAGAGTAAAGTGAACAGTCAGAAACACTCGCGGACGGAGCTGGTATCCAGGCGAGGTGAAGGTAAAGGAAACAGTTTTAATGGAAATACAAGAAAAATATCATCTCACTTTTTAAATTTCAAATTACTATAATTGAGAGTGTCTGCTTTTGTATGTCGAACATTACGAATCGAGTAAAAATCACGATCTTCTCTCGTTAATCTCTGAACCTTCTGAACTTCTCTCGGTGAGGCATTGATACATCTCAAATAGTAACAGATTATGTCTTTTGCAATCATGGAAGTAGAGATCTCGCACTGTCACACACTACTTGAAGCAGCCCGAAGGCAAATATATATCATCTTAACATTTATATTTAACTGTCATGAGTTTTGAACTCAGGAACAACAGACCAACGTTATGAGCACATTATACCCCTCGCTCTAGATATAATAGGGCACGAATGCACGAATTGTTTATAATATTTTACTTTTATCGTGATAAAAATAAACGTTTACCGTATACACATTTTTGGAAGATGCATTATGAATGTCAGTCGAAAAATATTTTGACCAATTTGTGAAAATTTGGAGGATATCAGGAAAGCTGAGATCTACTGATGTCACTCTCAGAGGCAGATATATAATTACCCCGTCTCTCACGTGCTTCATGATGAAACCTACAATTTTACACGAGAACTTGTGATTGGCGACACCTGATACAAGCACGTCATACACATCAACTCCAACAAATTCTCCAAACTACAGGTCCGGTTCGGGCTCGGCTTCGCAATCTAGCGTGGCGGCCTCGCTGGTGTCGGGCGGTAGCACCACCAGGTCGTGGAACTCCCCGGAGCGGGGCGGGGCGGGCTCGGCGGGCAGCACGGGCGGCGGGGCGCCGGCCGTGGGCTCCCCGCTGCTGGAACTGACGGTGCTGCTGCTGGTGGTGGGCATCCGCACGGCGTCCTCGCGCTGCAGGCGCTGGCGCGCGCGGTAGCCCCGGTAGTTGCTCTGGATGGTGACGGCGGCCTGCGTCAGCTCCCCGTGCAGCGTGCGCCACACGAACTCGTCCTCCGCCGCCGCCGTCGCCTGCAGCTGCTCGGAGAGCGCGCTGCGCACGGCCGAGCGCGGCGAAGCGGCTGCGGCGGCTGCGTCCAGCTGGGCGTCCAGCGAGCCGCCGGCGGCCGGGCCCGGGCCCGACGGCTGGCTCACCGCCACGAGCGGCGGTCGCTCCGCCGCCGCGTCGTCCTCGTCCACCGACTGGTTCTCGGGCCGCTGCACCTCCGTCTCGGGCGTGTCGGCGCGCGCGTCGTCGTCCAGTGAGACGGAGCCCGCGCCGGCCAGCGACGGCTGGCTGTCGGGCAGCGACGGCGCCGTGGTGGAGCCCGCGCTGCTGCTGCGACGCAGGTGCGCCACCGGGCGCCACGCGATGTAGTTGCGCACGCCCGCCTGGATCTTGGTAGCGGCGCTGGAATAGGTGGAGTCGTCGTATTCGAAGGAGGACGACGCCGGCTGGTCGCTGCTGTCTTCGGGACGGCTCCGCGCTCCCTCGTCTTCCGACGAGCCCGTGAGTTTCTCGCCCGTTTCCGGGCTGCGGGGGATGTCTACTCCTCCGTCATCGTCGGCTGCTCCGCCCCCGCTGGCGTTTTCAGAGAACTCTTCTTCGGTTACTGAGGTGAGCGATGTGTCTGCGCCGGAGCCGCTGCCACCCGGACTCTCAGTAGGGTTTTCCATTTGTGGAGGCATGGAATCCTCTTCGCCAACGGCTCCTTCCGCGGACCCGACGGAACCGTCTTGAGCGGAATCGCCTTCAGAAGATGTCAACTCTGCAGGTCTGTTCATAGCAAGATCGTGTTCTGTGGGTCCGTCCTCAGGAGAAACATCCTCCGCGGACCCGTTTTCTCCATCAGGAGTCTGTTCGTTTACAGTGTTAGGACCAGAGTTTGTACCATCCTGTTGGTTGGGATCATTAGTGACTGTGTCTTCATCTGCTGCAACTATTCCAACGACATCGTTTGAAGCACTATCACTTTCTTTAGTATCTGCCACGAAGCCAACTGTTTCATCAGATGTAGGTGCTCCAGGATCTTCAGCAGTAGGGATATCCATAACAGGAGTACCTTCCTCGGGAGCTTCATCGGCGGGAGATTCATCGATGGCGGATTCTTCAACTGCAGCATCTTCAAGGGGCGCTTCTGCAACGAACTCTTCTGCAGTAACTTCATACACTGAAGTTTCTTCTACGGGAGCTTCATACACGGGAGCTTCATCCACGGGAGCATCTTCCAAGGGAGCTTCTTCCACGGGAGCATCTTCCACGGTAGCTTCTTCCACGGTAGCTTCTTCCACGGTAGCTTCTTCCACGGGAGCTTCTTCCACGGGAGCTTCTTCCACGGGAGCTTCTTCCGTGGGTGATTCTTCCGATGACGTTGCATCCACGGGAGCTTCCACGAGAGCTTCTTCCACGGGAGATTCTTCCACCGGAGCTTCTTCCGTTGGAGCTTCTGACGATGCTATTTCCAAGGGAGGTTCTACTACGGAAGCTTCTTCCACGGGAGCTTCTTCTGTGGGAGCTTCTGATAATGCTTCTTCCACGGGAACTTCTCTAGCAGCTTCATCTGACAATGTTCCGTCCACGGGAGCTTCTTGAATGGAAGCTTCTTCCGTGGGAGCTTCTTCCGTGGGAGCTTCTTCCGTGGGAGCTTCTTCCGTGGGATCTTCTTCCGTGGGAGCATTTTCAGTGGGAGCTTCTTGTGTGGGAGCTCCTTCAGTAGGTACTTCTTCCCCGGGAGTTTCTTCCATTGAAGCATCAGACGATGTTTCTACCGCAGGAGCATTTTCTATGGGAGCTTCATCCGTGGGAGGTTCTTCCGTGGGAGATTCTTCAGTGGGAACTCCTTCCATGGGATTTCTTTCCATGGGATCTTCTTCCGCGGGAGTTTCTTCTGCTGGAGTGGGAACATCTGCATTAGTTTCTTGCAAGAGAGCTTCTCCGGCGGGTGCTTGATCGGTGGTAGCTTCTGTAGCAAGAGTTTCTTCCACTGGCATTCCTTCAATGGGAGCATCTTCGGTTGGAGATACTTGAATAGTACCATCTTGGACAGCAACTTCACCGGGAGCTCCTTCCACCGGTGTATCTTCTACGACGGCTACGGCTGAAGTCTCTTCGGCTGACACTTCATTCTCAGCAGGTGTTTTTTGAGTTGTTTCTTCGCTGGATGCGTCTATCACCGAGTCCTCTACAACAGTCACTTCATCTGTCTCTTCGGAAGCTTCTTCGGTGGGACCGCCGGCGGGAGCTTTTTGAGATGTAGATTCTTCGACTATAGCTTCATCGCCGGGAGATTCCCCTACGGCTGTATCGCCGACCGGTGCTTCTTTGGCAGGTGTATCGGCGGCGGGTGTTTCAATGGTAGGTGCTTCGTCGATGGATGCGTCACCAGTGGGCTCTTCGTTGGTGGATTCTTCGTTAGTCACGCCATCACCGGGAGGTTCGTCGCTGGTTGTTTCATCGGCCGGTGCTTCGTTGGCGGGTGCTTCGTCAGCGGGTGCTTCGTCGGTGGGAGCGACAGTGGCGAGAGCTTCGATCGCAGATGTATCGTCGAAACGTCCTTCGTCGGCAAGAGCTTCCTCGGCAAGGTACTGCGTTTGCGGCACTTTCGTCGGGCGGGTGCTTCGTCGGCGGGTGCTTACGTCGGCGTGCTTCGTCGGCGGGGGCTTTCGTCGGCGGGTGCTTCGTCGGCGGGTGCTTCGTTAGCGGGTGCTTCGTCGCCGGGCTCTTCGTCTGCGAGGGCTTCATCGGCGGGTGCTTCGTCGGCAGGTGCTTCGCTGGCTGGAACATCATCGGAAGGAGCTTCGTCAAGGGAAGCGTCGTCGGCGCGAGCGTCGTCAACAGGAATGTCGTCTTCCGGAGCGTCGGTAGCGGGAGCTTCGACTGCGACAGTTTCGTTGGCTATAGTTTTGTCTGCAAGAGCCTCGTCGACTAAAGGTTCGTCGGTGGGTGCTTCAGGGGGAGGTCCGTCAGAAAGACTTTCGTCAGCTGGTGTATCCCCTGTCGCGCTTTCGGCGGGTGGATCTTCACCAACAGGAGCTGCGTCTGGTGCAGATTGTTCGAGAGGAACCACCTCGGCGGTATTTTCCTCAGCCGGCACCATATTTGGTGCGTCTTCAGCGGGATTATCTCCAACGGATTCATCCACTTTAGAAGCTTCTTGAGGAGTAGCATCGCTAACTGATTCTTCATCTGCTACAACTTCAACAGGAAGATCTGAGGGATCTTCTGCAGTCGAAGACTCATTTGTCGTATTTGCATGAATGCTGTCAGGAGGGGCATAGTCATCGCGTGCATCGTCAACGATAGAATTGTCTCCATCGGTGTTCGTAGTGGGTGCAGCCCCTTGTTCTTCACCTTCTGTGATGTTTATTGTATCGACCGTGCTAATATCTGCAGTATCAGTGTTGTTTTCCTGCGATCCATCGGCTGGAGCATAATCTTCGCGAGCATCGTCAGCTAGAGATTCTGTTAATTGAATTTGGTTATTGGGCACATCCTCGGTATGAGTTTCTTCCGATGGAGCTTCGTCTGCCAACGCTGTGTCAGCAAGAGGATCTTCTGTGGTATCTTGAACTCGAGTTTTGTATGCTGGAGCTTCTTCTGTGGTCGATTCTTCAGCAGGGGCTTCATTGGCGAGGGTTTCGTCAGCGGGAGCTTCGTCGGCGGGCACTACTTCGACCGGAGATTCTTCTGAGAGAGGTTCGTCAGCAGGAGCTGCGGCACCACTTCCTTCTGCTGTTGGAGCTTCGTCAGTTTCAGGGTCGTCCACAGGAAATTCGCCTGTAAGAGATTCTGCATCTGGAGAGTCTTCAACAATTACTTCAGCCGTAGGTTCAACAGTAGAGGTTTCGACAGTCACAGATTCGTCACTTCGGGGCACTTCGTCAGAGGCTGCTCCATCAATTAGAGTTTCGTCAGTCATAGTTTCTCCAGCCAAAGGTTCGTCAGTGGGAGTTTCGTCAGCAGGAGATAAGTCTGCGGGAACGTCTGGAATTTCTGCAGGCGGGGTTTCGTCAGCTGGAGCGTCTTGAACTGGAGAACCTTCAGCCGGAATTTCTTCGACGGCTGAATCGGCAGCAACACCCTCACTGAGAATGTCCATGGCACGGACGATGGCGGCATCGTCAACGGGCTCAATACCGTTGAGGGTGTCGCCGTCTTCATCAGCACCGTCAGGCTCGGGCTCACCTGACGTTGCGTCGTCGCCAGGGGATTCCCCGACAGGAGTGACGGAGACCCCGTCGCCTTCGCCGGGTGGCTGCTCCCCGGCGTCCAGCACCTGAGGTGAGCAGAGACCGCTGCAGCTGGAAGCCAGCGGTTGAGCGCGGTCGTGTTCCTCTAGAGTCTTGTGCGTGTCTGTGGAGCCGTGCGCGAGAAATCTACCGCCGAAGGGTCGTACGCCGGCGGGGTAGATTTCTCGCGCGAGCGGAGCGAGCTTCAAGCAGTGCGTGCGGCGACTAGTGCGGCTCTATCAGCCTCTACGGTGCGGGACTAACCTCGACCTGACCCGCGCCCGCGGGCGCGGCGTCGGTCTCGTCTGCCTGCTGTGAACCCTTGACCGTCTTGCGTGTTTGGTAGCCGCGGAAGCCGGCTTGAATCTTGGTGGCTGCGGCTGCAAGCTCGTCTTCTGAGCTTGCGGGTTGCGCTTCGTTCTGTGCGGCTTCTTCATTAGCCGACGGACCTGTTTCACTTTCTCCTTCTTGTTTCGTAGTTTTTCGTGCTTGGTAACCTCTGAAATTGGCTTGTATTGTTGTCGCAGCGGCGGATAAGTCTGGATCCGCACTTGCGGAAGCGTCTTGAACAGGTATCGGCGTTTCTTCAACTTGGGCAGTCTCTTCTTTGCCTTCATTCATTGCTTTTCTGGTTTTGTAACCTCTGAAATTCGCTTGAATCGTAGTGGCTGCTGCCGACAAGTCTTCAGCTGGCGCAGGTTCACCTGGAACGGAGTCCTCTTCTTTAGGCACACTTTCTTCCGGCTCGTTTGTCTTAAGGGTTTTTCTAGTCTGGTATCCTCTAAAATTTGCCTGTATCGTGGTGGCAGCGGCGGATAACTCTTCGGTAGGCGCCGGTGTGTGTTCGGTAGAAGACGCAGGTTCTTCTTTTTCTGCCTCAGTGGCTTCTGTAGTGTCTCCTTTGAGCCCCTTTCTCGTTTGATACCCTCGGAAGTTTGCTTGAATTGTCGTGGCGGCGGCCGCCAATTCTTCCGTGGCCTGCGGAGCAGCTTCTTCAGCCGGGGGAGCGCTGGGCTCTGGTTTGGCTTCCTCTTGTTTCCCCGTTGCCTCTTCTGCCCCATGGGGAGTAGCTCCTGCTTCTGGAGCATTCTCAAGTACGTCTCCTTTGAGAGTTTTTCGTGTTTGATAACCTCTGAAATTTGCTTGTATTTTTGTTGCTGCCATGGACAGATCTGTTGTTTCACCTGCTACCTCTTCGGTGGGTTGGTCGCTGGGCTGGGCTGGTTCCACACCCTCCTGTGCAGATTCATCCTTCTTGAGCGTTTGACGCGTCTGGAATCCTCGGTAGTTAGCTTGAATGACGGTGGCGGCGTTGTTTAGTGCCTCGTCGGATGTTTCCTGGAGAACGTTTTCAGAGACCGGGGATTCTCCTGCGACGGTCTCTGCGATGCTGTCGTCCGCGCCGTCGTCTCCCGTCCTGAGCGCGCGCCGTGTCTGGTAGCCGCGGAAGCCCGCTTGGATCTTCGTGGCTGCAGCCGCAAGTTCCTCCTCGGCAGCTTCAGCTGGAGGAGGCGGCGGGGGCGGGGGAGTTTCTTGACCTTCCTCGGACACTGGCGAGTCGACGATGGCAATGGCCGGAACCGCGTGAACGAGCCCGCCGTTCTTCTCCTGAGCTATCACTTGCCGCGTCTTATACCCCTTGAAGTTGGCTTGGATTGTGGTGGCTGCAGCGTTCAGCCGTTCCTCTTCGTTTTCCGCTGGTGGCGGTGGAGGTGGCTCCTTGCCCTGAGGTGCTTCATCGTTCTTGAGGGTCTTACGTGTCTGGTACCCTCGGAATCCCGCTTGAATCTTTGTGGCCGCTGCTTCCAATTCCCCAGATTCTGGATTCTCGACTAGAGCTGGCGCTTCTGCGGGTGCCTCAGCTTCCGGGGTTTGATCGCCTTCAGCATTTCCATCCTTGAGCGCTTTCCTAGTTTGGTATCCACGGTAACCAGCTTGGATAGCTGTGGCTGCGACACTTAATGCTTCTTCATCGGTCTCTTGAGGTTTCGCTGCCTCTTCTCCTGCCGGTGCTTGCTCTTCTTCTCCTGCTGCTTGCTCCTCTTCCTGCATCTCTCCCTTTTCCTTCTTGAGGGCTTGTCGCGATTGGTGGCCCCTGAATCCGGCCTGGATTGTGGTCGCCGCCGCGTTGAGTGAGCTGTCTTCCGCTGGAGCTGCTTCTTGAGCGGGCTCCTGCGGGCTCGCCGCTTCATCGGGCTCTATCTTCTTGAGCTCTTGTCGCGTCTTGAAGCCGCGGAAGTTGGCTTGGATGGTGGTTGCCGCCGCGTTGAGCGAGCTGTCTTCCGCGGGGGCGGCGTCTTGAGCAGGCTCCTGTGGAGCGGCCTCTTCTCCGGGGTCTGTCTTCTTAAGTTCCTGTCGCGTCTTGAAGCCGCGGAAGTTGGCCTGGATGGTGGTGGCGGCCGCGTTGAGCGAGCTGTCTTCCGCGGGGGCGGCTTCTTGAACGGGTTCCTGTGGGGCGGCCGCTTCCTCTGGCTCCGTTTTCTTCAAGTCCTGTCGCGTCTTGAAGCCGCGGAAGTTGGCTTGGATGGTGGTTGCCGCCGCGTTGAGCGAGCTGTCTTCTGCGGGGACGGCGTCTTGAGCAGTCTCCTGTGGAGCGGCCGCTTCTTCGGGTTCTGTCTTCTTAAGTTCCTGTCGCGTCTTGAAACCGCGGAAGTTGGCCTGGATGGTAGTGGCGGCCGCGTTGAGCGAGCTGTCTTCCGCGGGGGCGACTTCTTGAGCAGCCTCCTGTGGGGCGGCCGCTTCTTCGGGTTCTGTCTTCTTAAGTTCCTGTCGCGTCTTGAAGCCGCGGAAGTTGGCCTGGATAGTGGTTGCCGCCGCGTTGAGCGTCGGCTCGGAGGCGGCGATTTCCGGCGGCGGGGGAGGGAGGTCCTCGACGGCTTCGGCGGCGGCTTCAGCGGCGGCTTCGGCGGCCTTGGCGGCCTCCGCGGCGGCGGCTTCGGCGGCCTCGGCGGCCTCCGCCGCGGGCTCCTCGATCACCTGCTTGAGCTCCTGGCGCGCGCGGAAGCCCCTGTAGTTGGCCTGGATGGTGGTGGCGGCGGCGTTGAGCGCGTCGTCCGCCTGCTGCAGCTCGGGCGGCGGAGGCGGCAGTTCGTCGCTCACGTCCTCCGCGCTCTCCGACTTGTCCTCGTCCTTGGGCGCCGACGGCTGCGGACCCACAAAGCCTCATTCGCGCCCTGCAAACACTCTTACACGACCTGGGGTGGAAGGTTCGCGGGCTGGAAGTCCGGAAATGGATTGCCAGACGTTTGGAACAGTGAGAACGGTATATCCGTCCGTACTGGATTACAATGTTGGCTGAGTGCGGAGTGCAGTTGGCGTAATGGGAAACGGTTATTTGTAAGGAAATTAAAGGAAAATTAGTAACAGCGAGATTGATAATATCTATTTTGCTAAACATTTATTTTGTGTGCAGTGAGCAGTTAACCAAGACTGAACTCTCAAGTCCGCGAATTCGTTTGAATAATTTCGTAATAATTAAATTCCTCGTACTGTTTCAAATAGCGATGTTTGTAAATGGCATTGTATTATTATCTGCTTGTGGCGCCAATTTTTTTATGGAAATATTTTGTTAATTCACAAAAGGTATATCTTCATTTCCAAGTGCGTAAGCTGATTGAAACTTCGAGTAATCCTAAAATGTTAGTGTTTTTTTGGATTTAATTTTCTTTAAAAATCGAAAATCAAAAATAAATATTTTGCTTCTTAAGTAAAATCTTTCAAATACAATCTTGGCTAACTCGTGTGCACATTAATGTATTTACGCTGTGAAATAGCTGTTTCGTTAAGCAACTATAGCATTTCGTAGAAGTGATGTGCAATTCTTCCTTAGTTGTGTAATATTACGTTAATTTTGTTTTAAAGATATTGATTTTTGATTATGAATATAATTTTGAAAGCATTTTCGTTCCAGCACATATATGTGATTCTAAACTACAGCTAATACATGTTTGCTCTTCATGCATGAATTTCGTGCTTCGATTTTTAAATTTTATTTCACCTTATTTTTTCTTGTTCATAACTCATTCATGAAATTAGTATATTCAGCAACTAATATTCCATAATCATTCAACACCATCTTCAATTAAGTTATTGAAGAATTGCAAATGACAACCTAAATATCATACTTCTATAACATTGTAAGATTCAGGAAATTTTAACGCTAAATTAAAAATACACATTTCTTCCCCTTACGTGATTTTCTGTTGATGTAGTGCTGCTAAGAGAGAGAAAATACTACACAAATAATTGAATACAATGTACAGATAGCGATAACGTCATTAAAACATAAGAATTTAAGATCCTGATTTAAACGTCCAATTCTTTGGAAGCAAGTCACGATAAGTTCAAATAATAATTCTAATTGTTAAAATTAATATTAGTATGTAAAAAGCACAATACTTGTTGAAATACGAAATTAAATTAAATATTTGAAATCCTCTACAGATTTGCGCGAGCATTCGGGTGTTCTACGAGTATCATCGGTACTAATTTTATTGCATACTTTCATACCATTCATAACCTTGGCTTTCAAAATTGCAATGCAGTAACCCTGTTGTTTTTTACTTATGTTGAAATATTATCTCTCGATAATTCTTAATTCCTCGCATTTCGTAACCATTTATCTCTTCTTTCGGAAAAGAATTCAGTGATGTACATTTATGTCAGTTACAAAATGTTGAGGTGTGAGGGTGTAGGAGGCAGAAGTTTTAATACAAAGTTTGTTACAGACACATTACGCGAACAAATCTGTTTTGTGTTATTGTAGACACTAACGATGGAATAATATATCCCGACACGTTTGCGAACTAACATAGTTTTACCTTAACAACTCGCTTCTAGTGTGCCCCGAGAAGCTATCTTCTTTGCAGCTTTTATAAAAGATATATCGGTTGACATTATACATCGAAAACCCCTTCAACAATGTACTACTCCCAATGTTAAAAGTCTATCGTCTCTCGCTTTTCCCAATATTAAGTGGTGTTGGGGTGCAGTTTGAGCTCTTACCGGCAGCGCGGGCTCCTCGCTGGCCGCGTGCACCTCCTCGGGCGTGGGCGGCGGCGGCAGCTCGTCTCCGTCCGCCTCGGCCTCCGCCTGCCCCTCCCCCTCGCCGGCGCCGGCGCCCTGCAGCCCCTTGCGCGTCTTGTAGCCGCGGAAGCCCGCCTGGATGGTGGTGGCGGCCGACGCCAGCGCGTCCTCCTCCTCCTTGGCGCGAGCGGTCTCGTGGTCCGTGGCCGCAGCCACCGCCGCGGCGGCGCCCACCGCCACGGCGCCAGCAGCCACAGCCGTCGCCTCGCCCCCCTGCGGAGCACGCGCACGCTCGGCTTCAGTTCTCTTCGCCGATTGTTTATTTACTTAATTTGTATTATTTACTTCGCGTTTATTTTTTTTGCATTTACTTGTTTTATTGAAACATTATTCCTATGTTTTAAGTACATCCTGTATATCTTCAGGGAAAAGGCTGCGCGCTGTAGTGGGAAGATAAGTTGGTACACCTACATAACACTTGTATTTAGAATACTTTCAGTAATCAAAGTAAAAGTATTATAATTTTATCGTTACACTTTCGAAAGAAACGAAACATACATACTTACAATTTAAAGAGTTCTACTTTTACTGAAATATATTCTTAACCATGAGTTATTTTTTGTGAAATTCAGCTTTACACTTTACAGACGTACGTATTTGCATACTTGTAAATTCACTCACGCCTTCAAATTTTAAGCTTTGCACGTTCAAAAAAAAAGTATGTACAAGTGCTGTTTTAACTAAAATGAAAACAGAATTTTATATTTTTGACATAATATTTTATGCATTATTGATAGGCAAGACATAATGCTTTGCAAAGATGATCTTGAAAATGATCCAATTTTAACAACGATTTATTTACATTCACTCATGCCATCTCTTTCTGCGACGATTTTAAAAATAATTTTACACTTTCTTAACTTACAGAATTGGGCATCTTAGGCAAATTAGAAATGTAATCTAATTTATATTGGTTTTTGAAGTTAAAGAAAATAAAGGCAACATTACATGCTGAAAAAAACGATTACAATTTTTTGAAGAAATTTGAAATAAATTAATTGATAAAATTAACGATGATTACGTGGATGGTTTCGATTTTCAACGTTACCTGCATCGAAGGTTTACCTCAATATGCAGCGCTCAAATACGAGAGCCCATTCTGCAATGCTTATATGAACTCAATGGTTTGATGTGTTGGCTGTTTTGATAACAAAGTATGCGGATAATTATTCGATCTTAACACGCTTTTCTAGTTTGGTCGGGATATGACTGATTGCAAGTTCGCGAAATATTCCGGATCTTCTCACAGCGCAAGTTCTAGTGTCTGCCAAACACTTTCCTATTCGTATTTGAGTAAAGATTTCTTCACTATTCTCTGGAAACGTGTGTAATTTATCTACTCCATGTTTCATTGGATGGAGATATTCTTAGGAGGCACGTGCAAGACTCAATGGGGAATGACTTTACTTCTTGAGGTATGAATGAAGCGAAATCATGTATTAGGGAATGGAAAGAGGATATCGAAGAAGACGTCCCACTGTTTTCAAATGAAGGGCTTGGGGCAGTGACAAGATAAGCCACTCCAAACACAAGTGTCTTCCTGTTCGTAAATCCCAATTTCTTAATTTTGGCCAACGTATGGTTAATTTTATCAATGCCTACTAGCAGGAGACCTCCTGTAGCCTGTCTTGTCAGTACCCGACGCCGTTCGCATTCGTTCAGCTGCAGTGCTGTGCGGGGAGGCGCACCTGCTCCTTGGCGCTGGGGGGGCGCGAGGCGCCGTACTCCGCCTGCTGCTCGATGGCCTCCGCGGCCAGCGCCGCCTTGGGGGCCTCCTCGCGCGGGGTGTCGGGCGGCGTGGGCAGGCCGGCGGTCGCCTCGGCCGCCGGGGTCTCTGCCGCGGGGGCGGCGGCGACGGCGCTGGCGGGGCGGGAGGTGTCGGAGGCGCCGCTCGGCGGGCGCGACGCTTCGGTCGACGCCGCCGCCGGCGCTGGCGAGGGCGTCGCGACGGCGCTCTCGGGCCGCGAGGCGTCGGACGCCTCTGCTGGTGACGCGGCGCTCTCCGGCCGAGAGGCGGCTTCGGCGGGCGGGGGCGGGGCCGCGTCTTCTTTGGCGCTACCTGTGCGGGCACGACAATTGAGAGTTCTAAACATTCTGTGTTAATTGATCGGAACTTAAAACTTTCAGTCCACATTGAAGCATGACAACGATGTCTCATCTGGAATAGAATATCCAAAACGCTCCCAACTGACGTAAGGCAATGAATATCAGCGTTTTGGTGTGATAAAAGGAACTTGCTCCTAAATTTATTTATCCACGAATTTTATTAATGGTTGCTTTCCTTTTTGATCTGGCGTGAATTGTTTATTTGTGGGACAAGCGAATTAGGTTCAATCCCATAACGTTGCTACAATCACTTCCCTCGTTATTAGAGGATGTCAGTGCTAATTTTGCAATTATAAGAGTACTGTACTGTGAACAGACTGAAGAAAATAAATAAAAAGAATACAGTAAAAAACGTATGTAAATGAAAAACACGATACTTACAATGCTGACAAATTTTAAATATTGTCTAACACATTCTGGAGATTGTGTTTCCGAAACTTGAATTTGAGCATACCGGTCGGTGTGCATACCTGGTCGGGAGGTGGCGGCGGGCGAGGCGACCTCCGCTTCGGGCTGCGGCTGCGGCTGGGGCTCTGCGTCGGCCGGGGCCGAGGTGGCGCTCGTGGGCCTCGACGCCTCTCCTTCCTCCGCGGGCTTCTCCGCCTCCACGCTGTCCTTGGACGCCTGCGCACGGGCCACACACGCGCTCTGGATAGTACTCCACCAAAAGAAAAGGTTGCGCAGCGTCTTGCGGTTTTTGAAAGACGGTTTATGAGAACGATATTTGGACCGGTTAAAATACCCAATGGAGATAGGCGGATTAGGAACAATTTCGAACTGGACAATATACAAAAGCACAAACACATTAAATTTTACCAAAGCCACTAGATAAAGTTGGCTTGGTCGTCTGAATGGGATGTTGCATGGCAGAATAGTGAACAAGATCTTTAGGTGGAATTCAGTGTGCACCAGGAGAAGAGGACGCCCTAAAAATAGATGGAGAGATGTTGGCAAAGACATCAGGAAAATCAAGATTGAAAATTGGATCGAGCTCTCGAAGAATGGAGAAAAATGGAAAAGATAGTTGAGTAAGCCCACACGTTCATTTGAAGGACGTGGAGCTTTAGAAGGAAAAGAAGAAGAAGAAGAAGACGAGGAAGATAGTACTCTACCAATAGCAGAATGAAAAGAGATCGGATTATGGAATGATTGAGGACTTACATCAGGTTTCAATTCATTTTAATTATCCCCTTATTTACGTGGCGAGGCACAGGCCATCATACCTGCTCTTCCGCCTAACCATGCAAATTTCGCTACGTTCTTTTCGTCATCTAGCAAAGCAAAACGATATAGCTCAGATGATTCTTTTAGGGGATATTTTCCTTGCAGTAAATATTCAACATGAGTGAACACGCTTTAGATCCCCTCCAAAGTGTACCAACCATTTCCCATCAGGTTTTTCAACCCCTGATCTTGAGTGTCCGATATTCAAACCATTAGATTTAGCCGTTGTGTTTCATTCTACTTCATGGGGGAAAGGACGTCTTTGAGAACATTAAAGTCACTTTTTTTCCGAACTGGAACAGTTCTCTCTTTAGTTATTTCTAAACAATGAAGAATCGTCGTTTCAGGTGTTCTCTAACTTACGTACCCTTTTAGAATGAATTGACATAATGTGTTCTTTTATTGTTGGCATATTGCACCTTTGTTTAATCTGAAATTATTACGAATATAAATATCACGATTAATACAGCACAATATTTTATGTTATCATTGTTAGCAATAGCATTGACGACAATGGTAGTTCCCGTAACAAGAACCAACATTACAAAACGACATTATCTACAAGCACGATATACCACTCCTAGCGCGAGTCTGGATGGGAACGATCTTTCAAGGCGTACTACAAGGCGTATTCGTCATCGACACAAAATAAACGAGATTTCGAACGACAGCCGAGTTAATCTGGGAATGTTTAGACATGGTTGCAAACCTTGCCCGCAGGAACGAAAAGCGGAAAACCCAAAATAAGTTTCTTTTCAACATAAAAATTGGTGTGCCTTTGGAGAGATAATAAATTGATATTATCTTCACGAATATTACGACATAATATTTAAAATATTAATTTGATTATTTCTAACATATTTTTGTTATTCATTTGTTCAACAATATTAATGTCCTATTTTCATTATTCTAGTATTCTCATTTCCTGCGAGAACTATGTTACGTTATACGAGTATCCAATAATCTATCATTACTCCATCTAGTGCAATCTCTTATCTAACAATGTTTGTTTCCCGATATTTGAAGTATTTTACACGCCTCCATGTTGTTAGTTATTTAATGTTTACTTCAATAAAGAGGTATTTGGCTAGTTATTAAAACTTCATATGCAATTTTTATTACGCTCTAACTTATTCTTAACTTACATTGATACATTGGGGAGGTGTCCTACTAAAGATTCTCTAGTCAGGTTCCATGTTTGTGAATTTGATTTGGAATTTATGGAAAATACATTTCTTTTGGATTCTGGTTGTCTTAGTCGGATTTTTTGGAGTCTAAATTCGGTAAGACCTGGTTTTTGATGTGTGTTATGATCTACGTTTGTAGCAAGGTGTGTGATGTGGGGATCTAGTGATACAATGTTAAACTACTTATGAAGCTGATTATTAACAATGAACTTGAGTTAGTTATGGATCAGGAATTGGTGTCTGCATTACTTGGAGTTTGCGAATATTTGTATTGATATTAATCCATATAGGACAGGCATAAGTAATTGTGGTTCTTACTATGTATGTATTTATACAGGAAGTCCGGTGAGGAAACGTGGAAACTTCGAATATAAGCTCTTATGACAATGTTAAGCATAGCTTGTCTAATAAACTACTGGATATTTCGAATGGTTCGAATTGGTTTGAAAAAATGGTTTCAAGGCAAACATTTGCCTTGAAACCATTTTTTCAAACCAATAAAAAATAAAAAAGTAATCGGAATGTGTGAATTTGGTGATTTTTATTTGTGTCAATTTTTCTTTCTGAACAAATATATTAATTTCTTTTGTAAATAATGAACAATTTACATGTTTATGGAGTGTTTCTGTGCTTCTGCGACACAAATTTTTGCCTAGGAAGCATTTTTTCGAACCAGTTTTTGAGTTTTTATTGCGGCTTAATCATTTCCAATATCCCAGTAGTTCATTAGACAAAATATGCTTAAGTTTGTCTTAAGATCTTATTTGCGACGTTTTGACGATCCCTCCCCAGAGATCCTGTATTTTGCTTTGGTAGTATTGTTCTGTCCTGAACCGTGTCTGTTTATTATCGATTTTAACTGATGACGTTGTGGGCGTGGTACCTGCGCGGCGATGACGGTGACGGCGCTGTCGGGGCGGCTGGCGCTGGAGTCGCGCTCCACGGAGCCGCTGGCGGGCCGCGAGGCGGGGGCGGTGGCGGCGGCGGCGGCGGCGGCGTCGGGTGTCTCGCTGGGGGCTTCCGGGGCCGCCTCGGCCTCCGCCTCGGCCTCGGCCTGCGCCTCGGGCGTGGGCGTGCTGGAGCCGTCGCTGTCGGCGCCGTCGTCGGCGGGGGGCGGCGGGGGCGGCGGCGGCGGCTCCTCTACTCCCAGCTCCTCCGCGTCGATGGACAGCGCCGCCACGCTCGAGTGCGCGCTCGACTGCTGCTCCGTCACCAGCTCCTCCGTGCTGATGGCCTGCAAGCAGCGCGGAGCAAAGCAAGCCTTCAGTGGATGCAATGATTCAATAATTTATTTTACTTTTGTGTATTATTAATTTTCTTAATTTATAATACTCATACGTCAAATCTACACCTGCTGACGACATATTGATTGATTCGTTAGTGTAATCGGGCGCATGAACGGCTAAGGTCGTTGGTCACGTAAGTGCAGTGCATGTTTTACCGCGGGAGGTGGCGGAGATCTTCCCCTTGCTGGATGATGGGATCTAGCGCCGACCTGCACGTCGACGTGCGGAGTTTTCCGTCAACCAGGTATCTCCCCCATTCCTCCCAGTTGAGATAGAACAAGCTCTAAACTTCTGACTGGTCTCCCGACAAGTGTGATAGTGTAGTGCACGAAAGTGTGTGTGGAAGTAAGGGGTGGAATATAGGACAAGCAAAAGGAAGAAAAGACCGTGGTCTTTGGCACGTTTGTTACGGTACTGCCCCGGCATTCGCCTGGCATTGTTCGGAGAAACCACGGAAAACTATCGATCAAAGCAGCCGGCCGCTAGAATTCTCCTCAAGACGGCGGGCGAATTTTACCTAGTTATCTTGCTAGTGTCGAAAATCCTGCCACCGTCTGGACTCAAACTCTCGGACCTCCTGATCAGAGGTACTGCAGTGGTATCATTTAATGGCCCTGAGCCAGTCGTTAGCAGACAGTCTCGAGGTAATTGAGCTCTGCATTTGGTTAATACAATTATTCTTAGCTCCTCCGAGCTGAGGGTCCGCGCGCAGCAAAGTACACAGACCAAGGAACGTGTTTCGCTAAAAGCGGCATGTCTCACGGCGCGTACAGGGTCCTCAGACGTTCAATATAATGGATCATTCAGGAATAAGTATCCCAAGTTATACAAGTAAATAGTCATAAAGACGATCACGGTGGAATGAGAGACCAGAGAAACGGGAGAACCCCGTGAAATCATTCACCCATTGAACCTCTTTTGAGTGTGGGTGAGAGGTAGTGGGCGCTGCGTCTCACCTGCGAGTCGGACTCGTGCGGCTCGGCGTCCTCGACGAGCGTGCCCTCGTGCGTGGCCTCGTCCAGCAGCACGGCCTCGCCGAAGGGGTCGGGCGAGCGCGCGCGGCGCGTGGCGGAGGGCGGCGGCGACGGCGCCGTGGCCGGCCGGCTGCCGTCCAGCAGCGGCGTGCCCGTCTCCGGGTTCACCCGGCTCCCGCCCTCCTCCTGCGCGGCACGCAGTGTAAAGGCCCGTTCGCGATGCAAACACAGCTCATAAGCATAACGCATAGGTGATGGACTGATGTATTCGCAATGGCTAAGCAAAGGTTGTGAGACATTCTAGTTTATTATTGGTTGGATGTGTGAATCGTTTTCGAGGTATCGAGTGTGACCATGGCCTATTGTACAAGGCGTTAGTTCGTATATCAACTTCAATCCTATTTCGATACTCGATTTGGAGTTAACGTACTGCCATTGGTACATTTCTTATGTCTTACTTAAGCATAAGCACAGAAGTATGAAGCTTTTAAGTTAACATTTTAAGTGTTATTGTTTATGCGAACGCATTGTGAATGAGTCCGCTTGTGGACGTAGTCCCACCTTTTATGTTTACGCTAAGCTTATGTTTATGTTTGCATTGTGAATGGGTCTTAAGCGCTTCGAATTCTCACCAATTTTTAGACATGGCACATTTGTATTAAAGAGAGGGTCACCCAGGATTGTTTTCTTGCGGGGAGGGGGGTTACATGTGAAGTGTTTAGCCAACTTGTTTTCTTGTAAAGAATTGTTTATTGATGCTAAATATATAATGTGTTTTTATTCGTTGACGTACAGTTACGATAATTATTATAGTTACGTTATAATATTTACAGCGTTAACAATTTACATATTGAATGACATTCATATGTACCGAACATTTGTAACGGCTATATTTTTAATTATATATCATAGGCTTCTAGGGAAGTGTAACCACCAAGTGTTCACCATCCGATTTAAGACAAAACGAAAGTTTGTAGATTGTGATATTAGGACAAAACAATCCCACATGCATCACGGAACGTATATTAGTCTGCTGCACACGTGAAAATTGTGCATTACTCGAAAACAATGCTTAAAATAGAAGTTCCGGGTTCCTTTTGGGACACGACTTACGTTCCTAACGCATTTATTTACAAAATGAGATCTCATTGGATATTCAATTACAGTTTTGGTGGTAGAATCCTCTCACTTCGTTGGATGGAATGATATAAATGTTGGAACCGGGGTTCCAATGTGAAGCACTCCAAGTAGATGGGCAAGAAAAACACTGGACGTCGTCCCGCAGCCAGTCTAGTCTCTTCACCCATTCAGACCCACGGAAACTCTTTTCACTTCCTCTCATTCCAAACGTATTAGAAATGTTTGTGCTCTGATTGAATTCTACATCCCTGTGACGACATACGACGGTACCACACAGTTCGTACAAGAGGTAGAGTTGTAATACTAAAAACTAATTTAAAAAAAAATCATGGGTGGGAAACGTTGAGTACCTATTGTGAAGTTAAAATCATTGGCATTGTTCGACTTCATGTCACAATATCCAATCGAATCGCTCGTTTTTCCCCCAGAATCTTACAAATACCTTGCATTCTACCAATTTTTTTTCAATTTGCTTGGTTCACCTGTTGATTAACTTCCCCTCATTTTTTTGGGGGAATCATGTTGGAAGAAAAATTGATTTATCGAAATAATTGAATATTTTGTACAACATATAAACAATATAGCCAATCTAGCTTTCTACTTTCTACATTAGAAAGTCTACATCGATATTTATTATTATTATTAAAGCTGCTTTTCAATGTAAAATGCCGCATGAGTTTACACAGATGTAATTTGCTTTCATGTGTTATATTATTTCTTTTATGGACACTGCTTTTTTTACAAAACAAAATTAATTTTCATTTTATTTGGAAATGTTTGCCAATTTCTTATTTTCCGATGTAATTATTGCAGTTTCGAAAGAGAGACTTTTTTTGTGATGAATGATCGTCAGATACGGTGTGTTTATTTTGTTTGGATGCCGCATTTAATTTCCCACATTATGTAAATACGCATTTGTCAACAATTCATTGATTTGAAAACATTATTAAACGGTGGTATGGAATAATCTGCTGTTATGATTAACGTCTCATTTTCGACGACAGTATGTTAAAAATTGACTAAATTTAACCGAGTAATAAATGGGTTTAAAAATGCAAAAAACCAGCGTGCTGTACGTACCTCTTCGGCGGCGGCGGTAGCCAGAGGGACGGGCGACGCGACGGCGCTGGCTGGCCGGGTGGCCGCTTCACTGGCGCTCTCCGCCACCTCCTCCTCGCCACTCTGCGGCCGGGACTCGGATGGCTCCCCGTCGGACTTGACGGCGCTCTCCGCCGCCTCTGCCTGGGACTTGCCGCTCTCGGGTCTGGATTCCGACGGCTCTGCCTGCGACTTGCCGCTTTCAGGCCTGGACTCCGACGGCTGTGCTTGGGATTTTGCGCTCTCCGGCCTGGATTCCGACGGCTCCGCCTCGGACTTGACCGCGCTCTCTGGCCTGGATTCTGAGGGTTCTGCATGCGATTTGGCTCCGCTGTCCGGCCGCGACTCGGCCGCTTCGGCGTCGGGTTTGGCTGCGGCGTCGCTCGCTCCCGCGTCGGATTTCGCGGCGCTCTCCGGCCGGGAGGCCGCCGCTTCGGCGTCCGTCTCCGCGGCGCTGTCGGCCCTGGCGTCGGACGCGTCGGCTTCGGACTTGGGCGCGCTGTCCGGGCGGGACGCGGCCACCTCCTCCGCCGCCTGCTCCGCCTTGGCTGCGCTCTCCGGCCTCTCCTCCGCCTCCTTGGCGCCTTCGGACTGGGCCGCGCTCACCGGCCTGGACCGGCCTTCGTC